GTTTCTTCCTTTGCTTAGGTGACGACCCTCGCGGCAGTAAGGACTTGTCATCCTGCTGTCCCCACTGCAATTCCAACTACCCTAAACCAAAACGCCCCAAAACCCCAAAACCCGAAACCCTAAACCCTTCTTGACCCCACCCTTCAGCCAAACTGCCGGACCACTGGGCAAAACACCACCCACCTAAACACTGCTTGCAGGCGGGCCGCAATAGGATTTGCCGAGCCGTTTTGTAGACACTACCTCAAGCGACGAAGATGTGAGCTTCAAAACATCAAAATGTCCGAGCTTGAGAGAATTGCCCTAAATTCTAAAACCATACACAGAATAATCTTTGGCCTGAAAGGGGTTCCTGTGTAAGTACTTTAGGGTCCAGTGTAGCGTAGTTTGTCTAGCTTCACTCGGACAATGAAACACATCCAAACCGAGCTAGACTAAAATCTCAGCCGCCCACTCTAAACCTCAAACTTTGCCTCAAAATCGATCTGATTCTTAACTTCAGCTACATGTGTCGTACTCCCCTTATAAGACTCTTGCAACAAAAACCTAAAAACACACACACCAAGCCGTATGCTGGCGCATGTTCTTACATCGTCGACGCCAGCAGGCTTCCTCACGCACCCAACCCCGGACCTTTCGGGTTTACCTATAGGGTTATTAGGGCTTATTAGGGCTTATTAGGGTTTATTAGGGCTTATTAGGGTTTATATCAGGGTTTATTAGGGCTTATTCGGGTTTATTAGGGCTTATTAAGGTTTATTAGAGTCAGTGAGGGTTTTTTGTTAGGGTCTGTTAGGGTCTAGGGTAGTTCCTTTTTGTCTGTGTGGTCCAAGTTTAGGATCCTATTAGGTCTGTAATCCTGAAAGGAATTGCCATGGAGCCTAGGGGTAGGGTTGAGGGTTTTAGGCTTCCGGGTGTACGGCTTTGGGGTTCGGGTTTAGGGCTTAGGCTTCGGTGTTTATAAGGCCTGAACCTAAAACCTAAACCCTAAACCCCTAAAGCCCTGAACCCTAAATCCCTAAAGCCCTAAAGCCCTAAATCCCTACAAATCCCTAAACCCTAAATCCCGAAACCCTCAATCCCTAAACCCTAAGCTCTTAAGCCCTAAACCCCTTGGGGTCTTAGGGTGTAGGGTTTAGGGTTTAGGATTTAGGGTTTAGGAGGTTTGGGGATTCTGGGTTTGGGGTTTAGGGTTTAGGGTTTAGGAGGTTTGAGGTTGAGGATTCAGGCTGTAGTACTTGTAGGTTACGACTGAGGGACCATAGGTTCATATCCGATCACTGCGAACTTGGCCCCAAGTCTTAAGTACCTACACTGCTATACCTTTGAGCCGGAAGTATCGAAATAAGAACCCCTTTTGTACTACATAATCCAAGCCTCCTAGGTTTAGGGTTTAGGGTTTAGGGCCTAAGCCCTAACCCTAAACCCTAAACCCTAAACCCTAAACCCTAAACCCTAAACCCTAACCCTAAACCTTTAGAGTTAAGGTTTAATAAGGAAGCCGACCGGAGCCGGCATCCGAGCCCTTGGCCCCTTGAGCAAGTTGGGGGTTGGGGTAGGGTCTAGGGTTCAGGGTTCAGGGTTTAGGGTTTAGGGTTTAGGGTTTAGGGTTTAGGGTTTAGGGTTCAGGGTGTAGGGTTTGATGTAGGAAAGTAATTAAAGTCCCCCGGTCGTAAATACCAGAAATAACAGGGTCCGTATGAAGAGCTGCGAGGAGTACCGTACCGTGGCCGTGGTTTTCCGAACCAGCTTCTTTCCAAGAGCATCGAGTATCAGTCTGAATCTAGACTCGGGCTTTGAGAGCTCGGTGTGAGGATCAGAGGCTAAAATATGGATGTTCGCTTCGGGCTTCTGTTTCAACGCTCACAGTCAAGCCTCTTTGCAGATTCGAAAGTCAGTTTAATTGCGAGCACAAATGGAAGCCCGAATGCAGTGACATCCGTCTCCACGCGCGGTCGCGGGACACCTCAGTTCGGACCACGAAGGGTGCAGAGGTTCTTGGACGATCATATAGGAGTTAGGCTTGGGGCTTCAAGTTTAGGGAGCCGTTGTCTTAGGAACAACCAAGCACTGGTGTTCTCGCAAGAATCCCAAGTGTGAGTATTGATGAGATTTTTTAAAGCTAGCAGCCATCATCATTATTACATCCACGGCCGTCACTGCCACGGCCACTGCCACCGCCACCAGCACAACAGTCAGCATCGTCGACACCGCCGTCATCGTCATCCCCAGTGTCAGCGCACTCCTAGCAAGAAGAACATCAACATGGCGATGACCTCAGCCGGCAAGTAGAGTGTTTGAGTTCCGTAAACCCTAAACCCTAAACCCTAAACCCTAAACCCAACCCTAAAACCCTAAACCGTAAAACCCTAAAACCCTAAACCCTAAACCCTAAACACTGAAGTCCAGGATGTGAAGGTCAGGCTCTGCACCCAGGAGCGCTAAAGCCTGTCGGTAACCACACAGTCTGAAGCCCCCAAGCTCCTCTGAGCATGACGCACTCCATTGGCCACAACACCTATAATATAGGGACCTTAATAATTGCCTATACTATTTTGGGGGGGTTCCTTGTTATAGTTACAGTATAATGGGCCCCAAAACCTTATTCTAATTATTAAGGCCCCTACATTATAGTTCAGAAGGCCTTGCCAACTCAGGAATAACTGAGGTTTTGCCCAAGCGCATATTATCGACATCGTCATCGGAGCCCGTGTTGCTACCTGCTCAGCAAGATGCGCCGCCTTATCATTAATGCACAAAAACCTGAACAGAGCCCGGAACAACCTACTCCTACTCCTACTCCTACTGCTGCTCCTTCTGCTACTGCTACTGCCACTGCGACTGCTACAGCTACTGCTACTCCATCGACTGCTACTACTACAGTATTACGTACTGGTGCCATTCAGGACGGCGCCCAAAATGCTTCCCCCCTACGCACTGGAGCGATTCCGAGCAACATGTTTCCCCTCGAAAACTGGCAGATTCAGCAGCATGGCGCTTATATGCTTGCCCCAGTTTTTGGCGGGACTCAGGAGGACTGCCAAAATGCTTTTCACAAGTACTGGCGCTGCTCAAGCTTTAGGATTGCAGAAAGCGGTTCATGTCTTGGAGTTAATGAACCTTGCTCTCCGGGGGGAACTCTGCACGTCATAAGACGCTAGCGCAAAATGTGCACCGCGCCAGAGCGGGAGCAGCGTCACGGGCAACACTTTCCGCGCTCTTGCGCATCACCAACCAACACTCTCGATACCCTTAACGTTTAAGACAGAAGAGCGTGCCACGCAACTTCTGTGGAAAAAGTCGTGCGCAACGCTTTGGGTTAAGGTTGGCTGCTTTGTTGTATGGTGTTGCGGCGCCGAAGGCCTTACATTGGGCATGTTGAACAGTTTTTGGACGCCTCTCAACCACTCCCCTAAACTCCTAACTGAACACCCAGAGCCTAAACCTCTAACTTGAAAGCCCTAATAAAGCTGAAAAACCCTGAAGCCCAGAAAGCCGAGAAGCACTAGCACACCCCCCAGTCTCCAAGAAAACGCTAAAGTCCGGAAGCTGCCTCTCACAGCACAACGGTGAAACTCTTAAGAACTCTGATCAACGCCGACATTAGCACCTAAGGGCCCTGAACTCCCATAGAACACGTCTAGAACCCCTGAAAATAAAGGAAGCCTTCCACCCTAAAAGCACTCAACTCTTCCCGAACTCTCTACCCCGGCCCCCAAACCCCAACTCTTATGGAACTCTCTACCCCTAAACCCCGACCGTAAACCCTGAACCCTCCTGGGAGACCTTAGAACAGAACCCTTGAAGGAGCCCCGAACTTCCCCTCACAGAGTCACACATATTCATAAAACTCGAGAGCTTTAGGTATTGGGCTTAGGGCCAGGGTTAGATTCGATAGCTTTCAGGGTTGGTTAGGGTTTAGGGTTTAGGGTGTAGGATTTGCCTATAGTCTCCATTGTAGTTCATTTTCTGGGGGGTACCTTGTAGGATCCTTAATTTTAATGTTAGCTAAAGCAAAAAGAGGAACTACAATGGAGAGTATAGGTGGGGTTCAGGTCCTAGGGTTTTTAGTTGGGGCTTTTAGGATTTGGGGTATAAATTAAGGTTTAATGTAGGGGCCGACATAATTACCAATATATTGGAGGTGCCGTACAATAATGATAGTATAATGGGCCCCCAAAACCCTACTTTAATTGTTAAGGCCCCTATACCCTAAACCCTTATAGTAGCCCCTATAGAGCCCTTTAAGGAACCCTTTAGAGGAACCCCCCAAAGACCCCTGTTCTAACCATTAAGGCCCCCATGTGAGGGCGTTGCTCTTGTATTCTTGCCCTAAACCCTAAACCCTAAACCGTAAACCCGAAACCCTAAACCCTAAACCCGAAACCCTAAACCCCTAAACCCTAAACCCAGAATCCTAAACCCTAAACCCGAAACCTTAAACCCCTAAACCCTAAACCCAGAATCCTAAACCCTAAACCCCAAGCCTAGGGCGAAGGGAAGTGCGCCTGAGACCTGTCCGGATTCCAGAGATCCAGCTCTCTGGTCCTTTTCTTCCCAACCTTTGGCTTCATAGGGTTTAGGGTTTATTCGGCTTTGTGGTTTAGGGTTTAGGGTTTAGGGTTTTCTTCCCAGCCTTTGGCTTTTGTAGCATTCCCAGAGACTCCAAAACCACCCAATTAAGGATTACATACCTTAAATCATATTAGGGATTCTAATATACAATTTAAGGTATATTCCATTATTAAGGGATTTTGGAGTCTCTGGATTCTATGCCGCTTCGAGGATTTCGGGATTTTGGTTTAGGATTCAGTCTTGGCTTGCAGGGGGTGTTTGACGCGGTTGATCGTTGATCGGGGTTTGTAATATCAAGAACTCTTCCAGGATCCCTTATACCCTAAACCCTGAATCCTAAACCCTAAACCCTAGACCCTAAACCCAGAATCCTAAACCCTAAATCCTAAACCCTTAGAGGCTTTGCTCTCCTGCCCCTTTCTTCTTCCCAACCAAGGAGTTTCGACCATTTCTAGCGCCGCTTCGGATCTCGGTTTAGCCTTTCGTGTTTAGGGTTTCGGGTTAAGGGTTTCAGATTCTACAAGACTTCTGGGGCTTTACAAAGGGGTGTCCACGAGTTTCCATCGGTTTAGGGTTTAGGGTTAGGGTAAAAACCTAGAAGGGTTTCTAGGATATTGGGTTCCAAACCGAAGCACCTCACGACGGGGTCCTTTTCTTGCCAACTTTAAAGTTCGAGGGTCCTAGGATAAGGTTTATGGTGGGTTGCTATAACTGCTACCAGGGCTTACTCATAACCACATATACTACTACCCGAAACCTAAGTACATACCTTATTCTTATAGGGCTCATGCTAGCGTGCTTGTCAACAAGACTTCTTTCCCTTGCAGATGCCAGTGCTGTCCTTGTAGGGATTACTCTGGGAGCAGTGTCTCACGGGCTAAACTCTCAACCCTAAACCTTAAAAACCCTCAACACAGGGGTTGGCTCTGGCAGTGGCCCTTGTCCCCAAACCGCTCCACTCCCCCGCTCTACATACAGTCAAACCCATGAAAGCTCAAAGCCCATGCGCTGCAAGGTCAGATAGTGGCCTCTATCATTTTAATAAGGCTTTGGGGCATATGATACTATAGTGAGAATACGGAACCAAGGACGAATATTGGTTCTTAGTTTGGCTCCTACAGACCCTCCTACAATCCCTGCAAGCCCTAAACCCCCAACCCCGAACACAAACCGCATCTAAGACCCTAAACCCCAGAAGCCTGAACCCTAAAATCCTAAACCCCAGGCTCTCAAAGCCCTGAAGACCCTAAAGCCTAGACTATAGTTGTGGGCAACCCCCCATATAATAAGGATACCCATGGCCCTACTAAGGATTGATGAGAAATTCAGGCCGAAAATGGAACACCACACAGGTAGCCTACGATCCTAGAACCCTGAACCTTGACACTCCAGATAAGCCCTTCTCAGAGACCCCCCGTAGGAGCTTTGCCAACCCCGACAGCAACACACTACTACAGGTTGAACTAGAAACGGCCCCAGGCTCCTAGCCCTGAACACTAACTAGGGTCTAGGGTTTAGGGTTTAGGGTTAAACTCTAACTAAAGCACTAGAAAAGCCCTAAACCCTAAATTATTGAGCTGAAATCCCCTAAAAAGTCAATGCCTCAAGCCCTAGTACGAACTCTAAAGCCCCAAAGCCTCAAACCCAGAACCCCCAGAACCGCAAAGTCGAAAACCAGGCACTCGATGCAAACATGGGGACCCTGTACTATAAACCCTGGACGCTCAGAAAGAGTTGGGAATATCCGTGTCTCGGGTTTCACGGCTTAGGATTTAAGGGTTTGGGGGGGCTTAGGGATGTACCTTAAGAACCCAAAACCCACTCTTTTTGTAGGTTCTTATTATACACCCTAATATGGGATTTATAGGGACCCTACAAAAAAGGTAGGTTTGGGGTTCTTAAGGTCGGGGTTTGAGGATCTTCGAGTCTTAAAGACGGGGGTTTGCAACCTTACGGGTTCAATTGCACGAGAAGTATACCACGGTTTAGGGTTTAGGGTTTAGGGTTCCACGGTCCCAAATGGGAGTTTCCGAAACAAGGGGTACCTTATTTTGGGGTCCTTATAATAAGGATCCTACTATTTAGGGTACTACATTAGGGTCCCTATTTTCGGAAACCCCCAAATACTATCCTTTTGAGCGGCTTTTGGTACCTAGTGCCTTATATGCTACTCGGGCATTTGGACCCGTGGGGAAAGGATTTCGGAGTTGTTTACAGCCTTTCTGCTAGAAATCTAGCCAGGCCAGAGCAAGGTGCAACTCCAGCAGTAGAGCTCAGGATTTGCAGTTTCTTTCGTCCCAAACCCCCAAACCTTACCGGAAGCTTTGTGTAGGTCGCCCATGGTTTCTATGCCAAGTGTCATATTTGGGACACTCGCAAAAAGAGCCCGTGCTGGTAGCTTAAGGAATGGCTCAAGACTCCGACAGAAGCGACTC